GGCATTTTATGTTATTTTTAGTCACTTTGGGTATATTATTGGAAGAAAATAGATCATTTTGGCTATAATTAGTGTAAAATGCTCTTAAGTGATTAAAGAAGGTTTTGTCACTTTTTATTTGCATTTTGTCCATAATTTGTATAGGAGTTGGAAATATACTTCATTTGGATGAAAAGGAAGTTGACAGTTTTGACACATCTTCGTATTTCGGCTATAACTTGAGTTACAATGATTGGATTGAGATGATTCTTGAACCATTTTAAAGATAAGAGAGATCTACAAATCATATGAAGACATCAAAATCCAGTTTGAAGGTTTTTCAGGTCAAAAAGCTGAATTACAGTAGCCAATTTCTATTGATCGAATCTGAAACAAGACATTGAGCAGTGAAGGGTATTTCAGTCATTTCTCAGCTTACACAAGTTCAAATGAGGTGATTCTTGATGCATTGAAAACTAATTCAAAAGGCTACAAGTTTCATGTTTTCGTTAGGAGTTAATTCAGCTTCTATCATTAAGAAAAATCCAGTTGAGTTGAAGTCAGGGCATAATTGGAGCAACATTGAAAACTGAACCCAACCCGTTTACAAGCCTATTGACATCCCGCTTAAACTTGAAAAGGTTATACTTATCCTCTCCAATTCTTAATTTTGTACTTTTCAAATGTATTCATCAATGTTCAATTTGTTCAATCCCTAAGTCTATACAGTTCCAGCCCCGGTAAGTAACCTTTGCTATTGCAATTATAACGTGCTTGATAGTTGATAGTTGATGTTGTTGTATTTTGTTGCATTACACTTGCAACCCCTACACATTTTTTCCTTGGATTTCTTACATCTTATTACTCCTAAAAAATTCTAATCAATTAACAAGAAGGGCAATTATGACATGAAAAATATGTTCTCTACTTAACCGAATTTTTATGTCTTCCTTTTTCTCTATAGGGGCTAAATTTAACATGTACACAACATTTAGTTAGGGTAGAACAATGAGATTTCTAGAAGTTTAGGTCCCCAAATAGTTTAGATATAAACATGTATGCATATTCATCCAAGCTCTAAAGTATTAACATAGATAGAAAGGTTTTCTACACTCAATTGACCCATGACATCATAATTATGTGATATTTGTTAATTATTTTATTAAATATATGAACCATGAAAAAGTTTGAAAGAAAGTAAAAAAAGAACAAAGAAGAACAATGTACTAACCTTTTAAAATGGACATAAAATATATGTATATGTATTTTGACAGAGGATCGGGGTATTCGTTAGTACATTTAAATCATACTTAGCTACACTCACATTTTATGCACACTTTAGACATTTTTTCACATTAGTCTAACTTTTGACTTAACACTCGAGTCCTCTCTTAACTAGTGCCCTCAAGGCACCTACTAGCCAAACCCTTTGATGAAAAACAAGAAAGAGCAAAATAAATGTATATGTAGTATAACCTGTGGGAAGGTAAAGAAAATGAAAAGAAAGATTATATACAAGACGCTGATGTATGATATAAATATTTTAAGTTAGTTGAAGACAGCATTTTATTGAAAATTGGTTATAATAATGCAGATTGTCATTAATGTGGAGATTCGACCAAATTTAAAATCATTGGTCTTAATTGCATTAGGAGTATAAAACCAACTCATTTGCTTAAACTGTTCTGGTTCAGTTGTTTAGCGTTGAACTAACCAATTCATCTGAGTCTCACAAAATACGGTAGATTGTGAACACTTATAGTCTAAGGATCAAACTGAAACGGACAGTGGAGTGGTCAACGGTTTAACCAGTTGAACCATTTAGTTTGAGCTAGAATTTACAACCATGCTCTAGGTTACACGAGAATAGGTATGTCAATCGATTAGGCATTTGCCCAAATTCAGTCCAGATCCATCATGTTTCCTGGATCTAGAAAAATGGAGGATGTTTAAACACATGCAAGTTTAAATGTTAAAAATACACAAAGATTTTCCAACAAATAGAGTTATTTAATAACCTTTCATACTTTAACTTCATAATTACTAGGTGTAATACTTTTCAGTGTTGGTTTTGTAATTTGAAAATGATAATTGTATTGTATTTCTGATGTCTTTGAATTATATGTTGTTATTATCTTTGAATTAAATTTCTAATTGCACAATAATACCTAGATATATCCATTGGGTACCCAGACCAATGAGCATCCGAGTGTGAATTTTTTTTTTCAAACCCCATGATGGTCATAGTCTACATCTGGACATGTGAATCAAGTGGTTCTAACCTAAATTAATACTACCATCTTGTTTACACAAGAGTGTGATTGCATGTATTTAGACAATATAACAAAATGACTCCACTTTTTGTTTTAGTTTTGTTCCTCTCCTTCCCTTATATTTGATAAATTCTGACACCCATACTGGTTCGTATAATCTCTCAATATTCACATCTGTTGTTTCCACGCTAGACATGTTTGGATAGGAGTTTATTTGGATGATTTATTTGAGATAATTACTGTAGTACTTTTTGTTATGTGATGTATGTGAGATAAAAAGGTGATTGGGAAAATAAAAAGATGATTGAGATTTGTGAAGCAAATTTTTTTTTTTTTTTTTCAAATCATCTCAATCCAAACACACTCTACGAGTCTCACGCTTTTCTGAAACATTTGGAAAGGCGACTAATTGTGAGTTAATTACACAAAATTACTTCATTACCTTTTCTTCTAGAGATTTTAAGGAAGTAATTTTTCTATTCTAATTTTCAGGAATTTCAGTCTAGTTTCAAATAAAGCAGTTCTAACCGTACATTACCATTCATTTTTTTAATGTAAAATTTGGTTGCTTTTATTCATTGAAGAGAAACAGAGGATATGCAAGGTGACAGAAAAACAATAAACAAATGATAACTATAACCATACTAGTGATGTAGAACATCAATTCGAGGTTTCAAGAACAGAGGGATCTTTGTGGAGGAGGAGGTCGAGTTGCCTACCTAAACGTGCATGAAAAAGGCTACAAAGGACGCTTGCAGAATTTATGCAGAATCCACATCGGATTTGAAACCGATTGCCGGGCTGAATTATTTCGGTCTTGTTAATCCAATTATATATCTGTTTGGATTAGATTTTTTTGGGGTGTTTTTTAAAAATTTGCTGTAGCAGAGTTTTTAGAGTATATTTTGGAATATTTTTAGAAAATATTTTGGGATATTTAAGAGTAGAAGATTTTCTAGAATATATTTTGAGATATTTTTTAAAATTTTAAAAAATTTTAAACTAATTTTTAGATTACTTTTTAGAGTACTTTTTAAAAAATTTTGTTATATTTGAAAAACACTCTCATCCAGGTGCGATTTGTAGCACCTTTTTGTCATTTTGTTTCCTTTATTATTATTGTAATTTTGGTAGTTTCTTAATTTTTAAGTAGGTTTCGTATTTATTATTTCCTGTTTCTTATGTATTTCTAGAGGTTGTGTACTTCTAAACAAGTTTGGAACTATTGTAATTTTGACTGTGGCCCCTTTTGGGGTTGTGGTACTTTTGGTACAAAAGAACTTTTAGTATGTGTTAAAAGTATTTTTTAAAAAATAATTAGTGAATATCATACTATAAAATTAGGAATAGAATTTTTGGTCTAAAAAACACTTTTAGCAAAAGCTCAATTTTGGTGCTTTTAGAGTAGTTTTGTGATTTAAAAAATAAATATCAAATTTAATTATTTTATCTTATATTATGAACCAAATAAAGAAATAAACACTTTTAAAAATTTTCAAATTACACATTATCCAATACAATAAGTACTTATTGAATTATGTTTGCAAATAATATATTTAAAAACACTTAAACAAATAATAAGTACTTTTATTAAAAACTCTAATAAGGCAAGCAGTGTTCAATGAGCTACAGTACCCCCCCCCCCCAACGAGCCCGGTATCTATACCTGGCAAAAAGCCCAAACCCATTTACCCCAGTCAACCAACCCACTGTTTCTAGGAGGTTCGGCGGGTCTATTGGGTTATGGGACAATTTGGGTTGGGTACCCTTATAAACCCCCTCCTCCAATGCCAGTCCTGTTCCTAGTATTGATCAAAAGAGAAAATTGAACCCCAAGTACTAACTAAAGATCCATCAGCAGAAATTCTTCTATTTTCGAGGTTTCCAGGCGTAGGCAAGGGATTATGGCGTATACGCCATAGAAGATGCTTGGTCTTCTTGGGAATTTTAAGAGACCAGATTTTCTTCAAAATATTACCTCTGCCCGAACTTAAGCTTGGTAGTTCTATTATTCAGACGTTTCTAAGTACTACAAATAGATGATTAGCCTTCTAGTAGTTGTGCAGTATATAATAAATCTTTTGTATTTTGAATATTGAAAAGTTAACAGCTAATCTTTAACCTTATATGAGGAATGTTTACCTAATTGTAATCACGAAACATAATTGCAAAATACATAAGTTATTTCGTAGAATTAAGGCTGGCAAAATTTTAAAGTTGAAAATAGAAAATTGAAACTGAGCTGTAAGTTCCTAGGGTTTACTGAACCTAATCAATAAATTTACTCTAAGTTTAAACTCTTCATCCCAATTGAATAAATCAAATATACAACGCTACTAAAGATGCCAAAAAATATTTTTAAAGTTCACTATTTTTTGCTAGCAATTAACATCTAATCTAAGACAATAAATTTAAAGGCAATCATTTACAATATCAAATTTGTATCACTATAGTATTGAAAATATGAATAGTTAATTAGTGATACCATCAATATATGTATATATGTGTGTGTGGGGGGAAATGTAAAAAGACATAATGATCTTTTATTCAACTTAGTAATTTGTAAAAACAAACACGGTATTAAAAGTTTCAAAAAGGGGAAAAAAAGAGATACAGAACGTGCAATGCATGTAATCCCAAACTAGTCATACTTAAATACAAGAGTGGGCAAAATAGAAAACACACTTCACTAACTGATACTGCCTGCATTCATGGGGCCAATCCCTTGAAGACATCAACATGCCATCCTCAAATAGACATGAAATCCACAAGCATTGCCCTTATATGGTCTTTAATGACATGCGGCTCAGTGAATCCATCGATACGGTGCTTGTAAACAGTTTCGCCAACGCGTGCGACATTAAGAAGCATTTTGAGACCATCCCTGGGAATGGGAGTAGGCCTCAAGCATTCCTCGTTCATAACCTTCCAAGTATTCTCAATCATCTCTCGAAACTTCTTGGCTGCCTCTTCCTCCGATATATTATGGTCCTTCATGAAGCATTCAAGTGCTGTGCTACTGCCCCTTTCTTTGTCGAACTTCAAATGCGAAGAGTTCAAATAGAAAACATGAAAACTCTAATAAAATGGAGTGAAAAAAGTTTTGTTTGATTCCGAATTTACTCATATAAAGTACGAAAGTGTATTAACCATCGGTAAAACAATAACCAGCAAAATGAACTAAATGGCTGTATTTCGTTATGTTCATAAAAATTAAGCATCCGAGATTGAATGATATGCATATTTAAAAGCAAGTTTAATCATGGCATTACACTAGGTCAACTGCCTGAAACACATAGAAGTCTCGATCAATGTGCATATTCTGTGGTGTTGCAGACTTGCAGTGGTGGTGTAAGAAGTGCAGGACTCAATCATTTGCTCTAAAGTCTAGAGGCTGACTTTCTCTATGACTGTCTACTTTCTTTGGCAGACTAGAAACAAGAGTTTATTTCTGCAAGTGAGTCCTTCTAGTGCGAGTGTAGTGGCTACTGTGGTCAATGCAATGCAGACTGCTGCTACCTCTTGGAACAAGATTCCTCGCACCAGAGAGAATTGGGAGTTGGTTTTTTAGTGGGGACTAGATCGAGGTTGCTTGCTATTGTTCTTTTTGTCCTTTCTTTCAAATTTTGACAGTAAAGTGTATAGAATTAGTGTAGCCTAGATTGTGGATGTTTTCCTCTTCTATAATGCTCTCTTGGTAATTCTATCAATGAAAAAAGGATTTTTTTGCTAAAAAAAAAAATTTGCATATTCTGTTGGAAGTTTTCAACAAAACTAACAAGTTACGTGAATCACTATAACGTAATCTTATTTCGAAATTCTGTGAGTTGTCTTAATCTAATCATTATAACCACACGACAAATTCTGACCTTGTGACCGCCATAATCATTAATCAATCGGGAATGTGTCGAGTAAGCAACCATAAGTTTTGGATTAGTTGACATCCAGTTGATAACATCCTCTGAGGCACTATCCATATCCAAAAAGCCTGCCGACGCTATAAGATATGCTCCGATTGTGATCGCACCATTGCTTATGTAATCGGCAAAGGATGGCAATTCTTTCGTGAGAAACCACCTTGACTGAGTCAAGTTTGTCCTCATGTATTGTTTCCACTGATTAATACAAATGAACGCAGAAAAATATTGATTAGTACTCCATGTGTTGGGACCATAACACTTGGAATATTAACACGGTCGTTATAATTAGCAACAACATGGTACCGTACATCTTCTATGTACTTGTTGAATGCATAGGTTCTTTGCTTTTTAGCTAAATCTTCGCCAACCTCCTTATTAAATTTCTGAAGTGTGGCGTAGGAAGCTCTGATGTAGTCTGAGAGTTGATCTACTCCACTGCCATCCCACCTGCAAGCAAAGCAAAACTTCCCATATAAATGCACCCAACATCAAGCTAGAGAAAATTGTCTGGATAATGGTCCCCTTTATTATTTACTGGCACATAGTAAGACAAAGCTTTTTAGTATATTACTCAATTATTTTTCCGAATATGATTTTTCGTGGATTATGCTTGGCTGCACGGTTGCTTCACTTGTGTAAGATGACTAACATAAAACGCTACCTTTCTGCAGAGTCTGTGAGAATTTGAAGTTCATCAAGAGTGCCATAAGCATCATAGATGTCATCAATCATTGTAATAAGGGCTGCTACTTTCGCAAAAGTCATTCGAGCAAGAGAGTGCTGAGGCTCATACAAGGTTCCAACAGCCCAGAAGTAGCATTCCACAAATCTGTCCCTTGCATAAGGAAATTTTGATACACTCTCCAATCCCTTTCCCCACCTATACATCGTTGCCATTTGTCAAAAAAATAAAAAAGGTTGCACAATCATTCATGAAACTTCTACTAGAAGAATATAGTCATACACAAAGGAATTTGATAGATAAAATTGCAAACGAGTGAAAGTTACGTTGGCTAACTTTTAGTATAGGTTGTGTTTCATAAGATTCTAATAATTTTTAAGGCTCCATTCAACTTAGAAAGAGAGTAGTACGTTAGCAACCTGGCCTGTGAAAGAAATTTTTTTTTGGCAATTTAAAATGCTACAGATATCATAGAATCCTACTAAGCTCAAGTGAACCTAAAGCTGCATGTAAGCATAGTACTGTAAAATATAAATCTCTGCAGTTTAGTGTTGTTAAACAAATCAGATCTGCCTATTGGAGAGCTAGTGTCTCGGTGTACCTTGTTATCTCACAAAGTCTTCTTTATATGACATCTGCAACAAGTGGTAATCCAACTTGGCTAGCCTCAGCAATACTTTATTGTGAGATTCATCTTCCTCATAGATGGAGATGTAACGCCAAGCCTCGTATCTTGGGATGCCCTTATGCAACGGCTGCTCAAGGGCATGTTTCACTTGTTTTGCAAGAGTAGAATCCAGATGGGGTCCCCCAGATGTCAGATGAGTGCTTGTGAAAGCAAGAGCTTCTTCTAAAATTTCGTCTCCATGTGTTCTAACATGACTAGCTTCGTATAGACTCAACAAACCCTTTGTGTCATTGCATAAGGATTCCTTGAACTACCCTTAGCATCAATGAATTGGTCAAAGATGCCTGTTTGAAATTATTTGGAAATAATATGTTAGAAAAATTAGGTGTTAAGATTTACTAATAGGTGAGTCCACACTAAAAAATTAGCAAATTAGTATGAAAGCTACGTACCACAAGAGATATTGAAACCATGCTGCTAAAAAGTCGGAATTAGCGCTGCACTAGATAAATCATAAGCTGAATACTCCCCAAAGTTGGTATACACTTTAAAGAATTCTTGTAGCTGGTTTTCAATTTCGATGTCAAAGTGATGCGAGACACCAAGTCGTTCTATTTTGTCTATAAAGTCGAATCTCTCCGTCATGGTTTTTCCGGTTGCCAAAACATGCTCGCGACTTCTGCCTTTAGAATTTGATCTCTCTTTCACACATTTCATATTCCTGAAAGCATCGACAAATATTTCTTTAGTCATATTGTTAAAATTGATAGCCTTAATACTGCTTCGAAACTGGAACAATTGGAAACTAAACAGGAGAAACCAGATCCCGAAATCTAAGGAAATGCAACAGTGTTACGGCAGAAAATAATTAGGTAAAGAATCCAACAAGAAGTCGTGGAAAGAACAAACCAAGTATGACAAATCAGACGCTAGTTCTACCAAAAAGAGTAACTACTCATTTTGTTTTTGTCTTTGTTTTTTCCCCTCTTGATAGGAGGCTAGAGTATTAATCAAGGGATAACAATCATGCAGCCATAGAAGATCGTGAACTTGTGGGGTCCGGCAACAACATGGTTCCAACATAGAAAAGGAATAAAAATTGTATGAAGAAAAACATGAGGTCAATCCTGAGCTTATAGGAGCAGAAAAGTAAGCACAACCTGCTTGTCAAGAGTAAATGGAGCGATATGATCAGCCCAAATGTTTTCAGGGAAGTCTGCCAATGGCCGGGCAGTCTCTTGCCGGTTGTTTGAGGGGAGAGAAGCTTGAGCTGAGGCCATATTCTAGGGGAAAGTTAGGGTAGGACTGCGATCAATTAAGTGTTGTTTGCAATGACTACTTAATTTGATAATTAGCCAGAGGAACTCAAGTACGTATTTATAGATCCAACGAGCCAAGTAGTCACCAGGGGCCAAGTAGAAAATTTTGGTCACATCATATATTTTCTTCTAGAAAGGAATGCATCACGATAAATGTAATAGTGAGAATAAAAAATCAATTAAAAAAGAGGCTATAATACTTTTTACTCTCTTGTGATTTGATGTTTTATCATATAAATCCTCTATGATTTATAAACCTATAAACATGATTTTTATAGTTTGAATTAAAGTGTTACTGTTAGTTTTTTCTTTAAAACTAATTTCAATATTAAAAGTTAAACTAATAAATTGATAAATTCATCCTGTTATTATTTCATTTTTTCTTTTTCCCTTTTCTTTCTCTTTTCCTTTTTTTCTTTGGGAAGAGAAGAGATGATTTAAAAAAACTTGTACTTTTTTATACTACATCTTAATTTTCTCAAATACAAAAGAAAAAGAAAAAGCAATAAAAAAATAAGTAGAAATTACTAATGAAGATTTGGAGTCATTAAAGATTTGGTTTAAAAACCTACACTGATATTTGCAATCATCAATAATGTGGTTTATTCTATTTCTTATTCATCTATCTTTTATTTTCCTTTATTCTTTTTTTGGTATTTGGGAAAAAGAGTAATGAAATGTGAATTTTCAATTTATTAGTTGATTTTGACTTTTTAATATTGACCATTAGTTTTAACTAAAAAAACTAATTGTAATGCTTTAATCCAAATTATGAGAAAGTTATGTGTAGATTTTTTAAACTATAGAGGGTTATATGGTAAAACATTAAATCACATGAGGGCAAGAGGTAACTTATCCAAAAAAATTTATTTTTGCTATTATCTGGTCTAAAAGTACAAGGTAAACAGACCAAAAGGAGGGGGCAGAATACTAGAATTTTGAAAAACAGCTTTTCCTTCGTTTTCCAAACTTCTTTTAATAAGCAATTGAATCATCTTAATGAAAGAATATCACCTAACCACACTATTCGAGATATTTTTCATTATTTTTACCCACCCTAATTCTTTCTTTGTCACGTGTAAGTGTGCCCATGATTTTGAACTTTTTACAAATAGTTTGCAGAACCTTTTTCGGGTTAGTGTGTGCAAATGTTAATTCATCACCAATGGGCAAATCTTAATTCATTTTATCCATTGCTAATTTTTTTTTTTTTGTTTCACTTCTTCAAAGGCGTTTCTCTGGCACTGAATGATCACCGTTCCTTGTAACTTTAATTATTTTTAATCACCTTTTTTCGGATAAGTGAGAAATCTTGAATTCAAAATCTCTTACTTACACTCTGTTCAAGAAAAAATTTACTTGAAAGCTAATTTTCTTTAATTTTTAAATCCCTCCTCTACAGGTGATATTGGTAACGTTAGGGTGCAAGTGGAAGACAACTAACAAAAAAAAAAAAAAAAAAAATGCCACACGAATAAGAAAACAAAAATGTTTTAAATATAAAGAAAAGGGAGGTAGCAAAACTTTGATAATTCATAAAAAGGGTTCAGATTTCATGTACATACTTTTTAGTGATTTGAACTGTTCTATTATTTGACACTTTGAGATAACAGTTGTCTGAAACTTTCCATATCTATGCAGAATAATGTAAAATAAAATGAGCTTTTTTTATGCTACTCAATCTATTGTCAAATAAGTTTTAAATCTCATAATTTTAATTACATAGAATAAAAATCACGCACAAGGATATCCATTGATTTACAGGTCCCTTAGTGTTTCGGTGTTGATCTTGTTTTTCGAACACTAATGGGTTTGGCTGTGGGACTGGTCTGAATTCAGCTAATGGACATGAATCTATACCTAATCGATTCACCTAGAGCTTGCCTCTTGACATGTTGATGGGGAAAAATACCTTGACTACTAAAGAACACAAAAGTAACTCCAAAAGATAGAACCTAACGAGAAATTTCTGAAATGCGTGTACCAACTTGCTACTTAAGTGTGTAAAGTGTCAGTGAGGATTCTTAAAGCTTTTCTCGCTTTCAGGTTGAGAATTTAAATTCTGAACTTGGTTGTTAGCGGCCCAAAAAAGTGTAGAGAATGGTGAGAAGTAAGAAAAAAAAATGCTCAAAGTGCACTCGAGGTACAAAAGTCTGTCAATTAATTCGTCGGTAGAAAGGGAAGCCGATTGAACCAGACACGCATGTATGGAAAACCGAGACAATTATGGTGGCTGGAAGGTCTTGACTGACAAAGAAGTCACCGATAGAATTGATGGTACTAATTTTAAAGGAGAATAAATTGTGGTCGATGGGAAAATGAATTTAAAGAGGAAAGGAAAATGATTTAATATTGCGCATTTAATTCCTGTATACTAAGTAATCAATAGTGTAATTGGCGAAATAAAGTGAAATAATGGAGAGAGAGAGAGAATATGGACAGGGAGATGGAGTGTAGCCAAAGGAGGTACTGATTTCCAATCCCCCAAAAAAGGGCAATTATTACATTGTATGAGGAGGTAGGATTTTAAATTAAGGCAGAAATGAGCTTTGAAATGAGTAAAAGAAGAAACGATTGTTAAAAAGAAGAAGGAAAAACTGAATGCAGGGTTGATGAGGAATACGTGGAGAGAGAGGAAGCTTTCAACGGACTAATGTTGATACATTATACGCGATTACATGCCAAATATCATTGCTTTCCAAAACTGATTTGAAAAAAGGAAAAGCATTTTAATAGCATGTCCATTTTAGTCGGTGGCGGGGCACTGGAGCCCTTAAATTTCTATGATACCTATAAAAATTTGATATAATTTCAACTGTACTCCCTGGAGTTTTGTGTATCTATTAGTTTATATGCTTTTAAAGTTGTCTTTGATTTTACCTGTTGTCACAGTTATCGAAGAAAGGGTTTTTTCAATGATGAATATAGTGAAGAATCGGTTACAAAATAAAATGGAAGACACTTGGATGAATAATTATTTAGTTACTTATATTGAGAAAAATATATTTCGTGAAGTTCAAAATGAAAAGATTGTAAACCATTATCAAAATATGAAAACTCGTCATGAGCAATTATAAATGGTTTAGTTTGCTTTTGAAATAAAATTATTATTACATTAATAATTTTGAGTTTGTCTTTTGATAGTTTTTATGAAATATATGCATCATTTGTATTTGTTGATGAATATTTTTTTCCTTAAAAAACTAAAAAAAAGTAGGTAAAAAATTTTAGAATTACTTTTGCCCCCATTAAAAAATTTTTCTAGCTCCGCCACTGATTTTAGTAAGTAGGTGATACGAGTCAAGCTATGCCATCGGATAAGGTTCAAGTCCCACTAGGACTGGTTACACGAGCTCGAGCAGTTCATTCAGGTTCACCGCAGCAAAGACGTTATAAGGCACAGACACGCTTTATAAGGATGCGTCTTCTGCCCATCTAGTCACATTTGCTATTTTAGTTAAGTCGTTTGTAATAAGGGCTTAATGGTCCATAGCCTTGCTTTATTTACCTAAGCGATGACCTCATAAGGTTATTTACCTAAGCGATGACCTCATAAGGTTGTTTACCTAAGGGATGACCTCATAAGGTTGTTTACCTAAGGGATGACCTCATTCTTAGTCTTATGGAAATAGTCAAGCCTACAATTGTTAGTCTTAGCCAAGACCACAACTCTAGACTAGTTCCACATTTAGTTGTTCATCTCTATGTAAGGCTATAAATAGCCTACACTTCCAATGGTTTTGGCATTCAATGAATAAATCAGATTTTGAGAGTTTTCTTGGTTTCTCCAAGGCTTCTTGAATACCTTAGAATTTCTCTAGATGTTCGTGACTTATCAATCTAGAATCGCACTAGGTTGTGGCGTCTTCTACCATTATACCAAGGTTCGTTAACCACGTGATTAACGGGTTGAGGTCATCCGCTCCAAACTTGGTGTCCTCTTGTCGATCCTGAATCTAATCTTTTACGGGTTTCGTCACAAGGTTGGCGACGTTCGTATCAGTTGGTATCACTGATACGAACGTCGCCAACCTTGTGACGAAACCCGTAAAAGATTAGATTCAGGATCGACAAGAGGACACCAAGTTTGGAGCGGATGACCTCAACCCGTTAATCACGTGGTTAACGAACCTTGGTATAATGGTAGAAGACGCCACAACCTAGTGCGATTCTAGATTGATAAGTCACGAACACCTAGAGAAATTCTAAGGTATTCAAGAAGCCTTGGAGAAACCAAGAAAACTCTCAAAATCTGATTTATTGATTGAATGCCAAAACCATTGGAAGTGTAGGCTATTTATAGCCTTACATAGAGATGAACAACTAAATGTGGAACTAGTCTAGAGTTGTGGTCTTGGCTAAGACTAACAATTGTAGGCTTGACTATTTCCATAAGACTAAAATGAGGTCATCCCTTAGGTAAACAACCTTATGAGGTCATCCCTTAGGTAAACAACCTTATGAGGTCATCGCTTAGGTAAATAACCTTATGAGGTCATCGCTTAGGTAAATAAAGCAAGGCTATGGACCATTAAGCCCTTATTACAAACGACTTAACTAAAATAGCAAATGTGACTAGATGGGCAGAAGACGCATCCTTATAAAGCGTGTCTGTGCCTTATAACGTCTTTGCTGCGGTGAACCTGAATGAACTGCTCGAGCTCGTGTAACCAGTCTAGTGGGACTTGAACCTTATCCGATGGCATAGCTTGACTCGTATCATTCCCCTTCTCTTGAAAGCAATTTGCCCACAAATTGAAGCATGAATGATGATAAGAAGAGTTACATGCCGTCGAGTCAATTTTGTTATGATTACCATAATTTTCATCCAATGCATAAACCACTTGCGAAGCTGGAAAGTAAACATTGTTGAACCTTGAATCTCACGAACCAGTTTCAATGTATGCCCAACTTGATCGCTTGTGATCATGAGGTAAGGATCCTCAAAGTGATGCGATGTA